CAAATTCAAGACTTCTACTTTATCTGAATTTTCCAAAAAATATTATTTTAAAAACTTAAAACGCGAACGAATTATCCACAAAAACGTGAATTCTTAAAACGAGTCAATGAACCGCAAACTGTGATAAGAAAATTACACCCGCTTTCAGTGTTACGTGCATAGGCGACATCTTTCGACCATCTTTCGACATCCCATCTTTCGACATGCTATGAAAGACCGTTCAGTAAACTGTGAAACTGGCAGTTTTTCCGGTTATTAGCGGAGGAAATGACAAGTAAATGATAATTACCTACCTCAAATGGCTGCAGAAGATTTTGGACTTTGCATGCTTCCCTATTTACGGGATAATTCAAGCGATTTAGTGTAGTCGATCGCTTCTCAATAGTGACTTCCGGTAGAATTGGGTCGCTGCCGCTTTTGATATTCGCAACGTGTAGACATTCAAAACAGTCGACTTATTTCTACCAGAATGACTTCTTGATACTCCTAACCTTAATTTGATGTCAAATAAATCAATCTTTCATCATTACAATTCCAGTTCGACCGTAAAGAAGTCCGTTGTGCTTACATTTTTTAAGTAGGCCNCAGAATGACTTCTTGATACTCCTAACCTTAATTTGATGTCAAATAAATCAATCTTTCATCATTACAATTCCAGTTCGACCGTAAAGAAGTCCGTTGTGCTTACATTTTTTAAGTAGGCCAGGTTACATAGCAAGTCGAAAGATGGCATGTCGAAAGATGTGGCCTCTGATGCACGTAACACTGAAAGCGGGTGTAAAATGTGTCAACCCTTGAGTTGAGCAGTAACAATTTTCGCGGCAACTGATCTCATCCGCGGGGTCGTATTTCGCTTCTTTTGTTTATCCCTTACGTCTTGCAATTTCTCGCACAAAAATCTTCTCTTTTGTTGGTTGTTTTCATCTCCTAAGTGATAGACCAGGCGATTTTGCACGGTCTCCGTGTTCCCACATTTGAGCGCAAGCGCAAATCGCAAGCGAATGTTTCAATTCGTCGATGCCCTACTCTAGCGTCTTCTGGCAATGAAGTTGATTGCCGCTGAATTACCGACGAATTTAATCGCTGATATCTGATAACACAGCTTCTCCAAACGCTCCTTTCCTCTGCTTCGATGAGAGTTTTTCCATAGTCTAGTAAAACAAAC